GGTGATTCACGCCTGTAGTCCCAGCTACTGGGGAGGCTGAGGCAGGAGCATCACTTGAGCCCAGGAATTTGAGGTTGCAGTGAGCTATGATGACGCCGCTGCATTCTCGCCGGGGTGACAGGGTGACAGAGCAAGACTCTGTCTCCAAAAAAAAAAAGATACTTAATACCTACCATGTGATAGAAACTGTGCCAGCTGCTGGGGATGCATCAGTGAGCAAAGTAACCAGGGTCTCTGCTCTCTTGCTACCTCAAGGCCTTAAACACCATCTCTGCCTTGATGAGTGGCTCTAGTGTGGACTTCTCCCTTGAACTCAAGGCAGGTATGTCCACTTTCCCTTCCAGCATCTCTATTTGGATGTTTGAGCATCTCAAGCCTATCTAAAAGCCCCTGCCCTCTCTCCCAGCACATAACCTTCTGCCCTTGCCGTCTTCCCCATGTCAGTAAACGGCAATATCATTCTTCCAATTGCTCAGACCAACAACCTGAGTGGAGTCTCTCTCTTTTAAATTGCATGCACAGTCCATTAGCAAATCCTGTGGACTCTACTTTCAGAATATATCCAGGCACTTATCCCTTCTCACCGTGTTCGGGTCCAAGCAACCTGCATTATTGCATTTTGCCTCCCAACTGGCCTTCCTGCCTCCGCCTTCTTCAATTACGGTCTCTTCTCCACACAGCAACCAGAGTGAACCTTCTGAAACATTCCAGATCGTGTCACTCCCCTGTCAAAACCCTTCATGGCTTCTCACTCTCTTGGTACAGGCCAAGACCTTAGGATGGCTCACAACACGCCTGCCACCTGCCCTGCTTTACCTGTCTGACCCCACCTCCTTCCATGCCCTCTTGTTCACGCAGAGCCCACACTCCTGCCTCTGCACTTGCTGGGCCCTCTGCTGGACTGCTCTTTCCTTGTGGGTCCTCATGGCTAAATCCCTCCGCTAATTTATGTCTTTACGCAAATCCTCTCTGGAAGTCGAGATTTTCCGCAGTCACCATATCTGAAATCCCCCTATCTGGACATTTCCTTTCCCCCATCCTAATTAATTTTTCTTTTTAGCACTTGTCGCTTAAAATACACTCTTTGTTTTCCTTGTCTAAATTATCATTTCTGAAAAAATTATTATTTCTGAAAAACTTCCTGAGGGCACCAGCAAGATAGTAAGTAGATGGTCGTCACCTTTGGCGCTCTAAGTTTCCTGGAACACTTGGGTGGGGGAGCAGGGAAGGAAATTCTCCAAATTCCTCTGCAGAGTCCACAGTGAGGTGTGGACATTTGAAATCTGATCCCTTTATTTTATTTTTTTTTTCAGCATATTATGGGGGTACAGATGTTTAGGTTACGTATGTTGCCCTTATCCCCACTTCCCCTGATCCCTTTAAGTTATCTTCTCAGATGTGAGTTAGGCCTTTACTATATTTTCATCCAATTGTCCAGAGAATAACACACACACTTGCAGATATGCTCATACGCCCCCTTCCGAAGGATCGATATTAATTCTCAGAGATGGTACCATCTCTAAATCCAAAACTGGAAGAGAACAATTATCCCAGCAGCCACAGTGAGAGGCTCCCTGGCTGATACTGGCAGTCTGTTTGCCGTATGATTATGCAGAGTTGTGTTAGTTCCTTTTGCATTCTCTCTTTCCAAATTATCCCTTTTGGACCTGATGGAAATAAGAAAAGCGGCCCAATGCTGATCTACATGCTACTTTTTTGCTCTGTTTTGGTTTGTTTGGGGTTTTTTTTTTTTTCGGTGTGTGTGTTTTAACCATTTTTAAGTGTACAATTCAGTGGCATTAATTACATTAATTACAATGTGCAACCATCACCACTGTTTCCAAAACTTATCACCCCCAAAAAGAAAGCCTGTAACCATTAAGCAATAGCTTAGCATTCCCTCTTTCCCAGCTTCTGGTAACCTCTAATCTGCTTTCTGTCTCTATGAATTTAATTTGCCTATTCAACATAGTTCAACCGGGTGCCGTGGCATGACCTGTAGTCCCAGCTACTCATTAGGCTGAGGATCACTTGAAGGCCAGCCTGGGCAATGTAGTGAGACCCTGGCTTAAAAACAAACAAATGAGAAAAGATATTTCATGTAAGTGGAATCATAAAACATCTTTTTTTTCTTTTGTTTTAGAGACAGGGTCTCACTTTGTTGCCAAGACTGGAGTGCAGTGGCATGCTTATAGCTCACTGTAACCTCGAATTCCTGGGCTCAAGTGATCCTCCTGACTCAGCCTCCCAAGTAACTGGAATTACAGATGCATGCCACCACTCTTGGCTTTTTAAAATTTTTTGTAGAGACAGGGTCTCACTATGTTGCCCAGTCTTGCCTCAAACTCCTGGGCTCAGGTGACACTTCCACCCTGGCTTCCCAAAGAGAACTTCATTCCCTTTTATAGCTGAATAATATTCCATTGTATGGATATATCACATTTTATCTATTCATCTATTGATGAATACTTAGGTTGTTTCCACCTTTGGCTATTGTGAATGGTCCTGCAATAAACATTGGCTTATAAATATTTGTTTGAGTCCCTGTTTTCAATTCTTTTGGATATATAC